CGATGTTCATACACGTCTCAAAAGGCAGGAAAAGATAATGGTAATCCATAGGTAATATCTTGCATGTCCGTTGTAATATGTATATATATATATTTTTTTTTTTTTTCTCGGAAAATTTTCATAAAAATTTTCGGTAAAAATCAATGCAACCTCGAAAAGGTTTAAACTCTCTTGGCTTATTGACAATGTATTTCTGTGTGCTACAAGCCTAATGCCAAGCCTTGTGTGCTTCTTCGCGTTGAGTATGAAAGTAGCTCAGCACTAACGAACAGGCAAATTGCGAAAAGGAAACTTATTTACGACAAAAACTCGAGTATATTAAGATGACTATATATTATGCTACGTATTTGCGCAATTGTTTATTATGTAAAGATTTATAAGGTGTTGCCATGAAAGATTCGTAACACTAGATTTACCGTCAATTTGACGCGTACTTGAATTTAAGCTTAAACATTTTGCATAAATAAGTAAATATATTTAAATATTATAATACATGTATACTCATTTTTTTGGGACACGCCCATTTCGCAGATTCAAGGGGCAAAATTCAGTCCGCAATCGTGAATCGTTAGAATAAATGGAAATAAATATGAATTTTTAAATTAGATCGGGACTGGGACCATTTTTCCATCGAACATGCAAATGCATCTAGCGAACATATGCTGCTTTTGCTGCATTTGGGGTAGTAGTCTTTCAGAGAGATCGCGCCCATTTTTTAATCGACCCGTCAAATTGATGGGTAAATCTAGTGTTCGTGAATCTAGTGTTCAAATGACAAGTTGACCTCTTGTCCACGTCATATTATCTCTTTCCTTTCCAAAATTTACCGTTACATGTAGAAGCCATACATGTCTCATGTTGTGTTTGCGATAAAAAATACTTTTCGTAACAACGAAAATGTCGAGTTTCATGCCAAGAAAAGATCATTTGCTGAGAGCATTTTTCCGCTTTCGGAACAGATGAAACGAAGAAGAGAAAGTCTCCGAACGAGAGATAAAAAGTGCATCTATTTTGAGATTCATGATTGTGAAAATTCATGATTAGATCCAGACGTGCCATTATCTCCAATTTTCATCCCAGGCTGAACTGCTTTGATAGAAATACGATATTCTCTCCTTAAAGCCATTGGAATAGCCTGATAAGCTATACGTTGTTAAATTCTGGTAGACCTGGTTTAATATCATGCACTACGAATAACTTTTAATGGATTTAAACCATTCGTTGTGCAACAAATGACCGAAATATCAAAAAAGGCAATACAATGTCATTTTTTGCATGGCATCTTCCTATCCATCCATATAAGAAAATCAGTTGGCGATACATTAAAAGCGCCAGTGTAAGCCGCTTACCTACCAAACGTCAGTTGTTTCGATTGCTGAGCAGCACCTTTAAAATATGTTTTGTTTTTTTTTTCTCGTTTTAGCGTAGCATCCACAAATTCCCAAAATAGATGGAAAAAATCCCGCTAGCGATGGGCAATACACTCAATAAAATATTTTTTTATTATTTTCATAAGACAATCGTGTATTTTTAATATAAAAATTTTGGTTTCATATATACATACTAAGCGTACGCATACTGTACTGCCTTCAGTTCGTTTTAGTTTTGATATTTGACTATTTAAGCAATATTTTGTTAAGCATTTTCGGTCACTTTTGGAAAGAAAACTTTTTCGATATTGCATATTCCTGCAAAGGGCACTAGCATAAGCAATTACAGTAACGTGAACACTTAATGCGCTTTACGACCATTTAAGGATTCCTCTCCGTTTATGATAAGCAAAATTTCTATATCATTTTTTTTTTTTATTTTGCATTACAGACGTGATCGAGGTTGTGGCCTCACTATCTTTACAAGTTCATCTTGATGTTGCTCATCGTAAAAGTGCTAACAATAGACACATAAAAATGTTTCCGATAAGCTTTTTTTCGTTTAACAAGCGAAAGAATAAAATTATTTTTATATATCGCAACCGCTAAATGGCGCATATGGCAAACCGCTGCAAAGATTCTCACAAACTATGTTACGTTAGGATTAGGATGAAGTATATTTGCTATACCAGTATCAGATTAGATGCAAATGAGAATATTTTTATGTATGTTTGCTTTTTTCTTTTGTTTTTCTTTTCTTCTCTTTTTTTTTCAAGTCATATATGGAGAATAGTTTTGTACAAATAAAAAATTTACATATAAACGTTCGTGTTGCGTCAGAAATGTAGTTTGTGTTTCGGTGTTGTCTTCAAAATATGTTACTTTGATTTTACTTTGACTTTATCTGTTAATGTATGCACATCTTCAGGGAGTTAGTCATATTCTCTCTCCTATTTGCATAACTACGGAGTTGTTGGTATCAAATTTGTACTCCATTCATTTTTAAATGTCGTTGTAAAATAAATAAATATTTTGATAAGATCTATTCCTATTTATATATCTAAATGCAATTTGTTCTCGTTGATAGAAGTAATTTTAATACAATTGTGCATTAATTTCTTTAGAAAAAAACAATTATAATAGTTGTTGGAGAATATATTCGGTGATAATAAAATTTTTCGAGATAAAACCATTTGTCTTTTTACATTATAAAGTAAGTTTTTTCCCAAGCATTGTTATCTAAAGATTCTAAAGATTTTCATTTCAGAAATTTAATTCTGAAATTTTCTACTTCAAAAATTATTTAAATCGGTCGAGTGTTTTTAAATTCGGCAAGTGTGTGGCTTTCATTCTCGATGATTACGAAAGTGCATAAAAATTTAATGTGGAAAAGCATGATACTTTGTATATATCTAAAACGATATTCCACATATACCGACGTAACGAATATATTATAGGTAAAAGGAAAAATTACGTAGCGATTTGTCAATAAAATTCAAATTAATAATCATAACTTCTGGGCTTTCTAGGCGGAAAAGTGAATCTAGTGTTTTTGACAGGCCCCTTTTGACGGGAGTTTAACAGCATTAAAAGAGTTCTGCGGAGAGCGAAACAAATATTAGTCAGATATTGCAAAGTGGGTGCATCCATCAAAGCTTCTTATCCAAGCTCAATTAACTTTTTGTTAAAACATGAGAACCTTCTCTGGTTCGGCATTGCCATCATAGCAGATGGCGACTTTTCTTTTGGGTAGTTTGTTTTCAGTCCGACCAGGAGCAAAGCATTACCCTACGAGGCATCAATGCGCGATTTGTTACCGCTTTTACAATTTCATCCTTTTTGATCGACGACGTTTTTCATCTATTAGTGTCGTATAAGATCCATTTTCTATTATCTTAAAAGATAGCTCGACTTTGATTGGTTGCATGCAAATTAAATCTAACGTATTAAATTTCTCACTATTAATTGACATGTGATACCTAAATGTCGAGCTTCTTCGTTTATCCAGCCTTGTAGTGCAAAATTGTTGAACTTTCAAAGTTCAGTTCAGCAACAAGGTCATAAGACGAGATATATCGGTATTCCCCCATTTTTAAAAGAACTTTTCTTAACTTCAATCATATCAATGATTGGCGCGGCGTGTATGAAACATTGAAATTTCTAGAACAGAAACAAGTAAATCGTTTATGGATTGCTGACTTTGGCAAAGCTTCTTTACCATTAACGCTATGAATTTTTTTCACGAGCCTATTAAGTGTTGTAGGCGTGACTTGGTCGCAGTGATTTCATAAGCTTCAGAATTTTATTTGATTTGTAAAACGCAATTATTTTTATTGCCAATTACTAGATATGGCCTTTTATACAAGTCCCCATTGAAGGATAGGGATATAATCAAACATTTTGACAAATTGTTTACAACAGCCACAGACTATATATTATATACCATATATTTTCGATCAGTGACAAATTCTCAATCGATTAAAGCATGCCCGTCCGTCCATCTATCCATTTGTCTGTCTAACGTCTGTGATAAATATCCTTCAGCTCGTAAATGGGCCAAACCAAAATAATCAAAGGGCACGCCCACAGTTATAGTATATTCTTAGAAGATCTCTATTTTCAAAATCAATCGGCCATAGTTGAATAGAATTTTCTTGCCTGTTCTATAAAATATAAGTTTATCAAGCGTAAAGCATTATATCTGGTAATCTGATTACGTTGTGATATGGGTTTAATTTTTGTTCACGTGTTCACCAATTAGTGTCGCGTAACTGTTGTATGAGTGTAGGCATTATTTATAAAATTAGAATTATTTGTTAATAAAAAATTTTATTTATACAGTTACAGAGTTATAGCTTAAGTGTAGTGTGACGAAATAAGTAAGTCATCTAATGATAAAAAAACAGTTCGAAAGTATAAATCAGGTAATCTGTGTATTTCCGAAGCAGATGGACTGAATGACTCAGGGAATGTCCCCTCTCTATGCAAGCAACTCTGTAATAGCAACGATTAGTAGATGAAGGGACAGAGCAAGACATAAAGAGTGAATGGCAGTCGGCTGTGGATATAGATATCGAATTGGCAAATGTTATATTTGTACAGGCTGAGCCGTCACGACGCCTACATAAGCAAGAATGCTCTCTACCGCATACTGAGATTTGAAGTCGTAAACATTGCCGTGGTAAACACGACTCTTGTCCGCTCGGCTACTTGATGCTTGACTTATTGCAGGCTTCGTCGTCTGGATAAGGGGCATGATCGAGTAAAACCGCTTCACTTCTATCCACAAATATTTTTACTCCCACGGCGTATTTAGATAAGAAGAATTTTTGTTATACAAATGAACATAGCCATAAGTGCACGTGACCTACACAGGGCAACCAACCTTCACCACACCATATATAATTTATAATGTCTTTTAACTTGAAAAAGTTTCACTGAGTAAACGAACAGTTGATCAGTGCAATTGTGTCCTTTTATATATGATATAATGTGTGGAATTCATTTAATAGGCGACCGATTATGTAAATATAAAAATTTGTTTTTTTTTTGTTTTTTTTTGTTTTTTTTTCATTTTCATACCTTCTAAAGGTTATATTTATGCATATGGAATTTTTATAACTATTTCAGTTTCACCTGTTATGACTAATGTAAATAACAACAACCATAACAACGATTATTTTCAACTACAAGAACAACAGCAGCGACAATTGAAAACTAAATCTACAACGATGAAAGTAAAAACCCCCCCAACACATACACACACAACCCCTACTACTAATTATATGCGAGCAGCCTCTAATTGGTTCGATTCGAAAACGTATGAAGCGATGCATTCATTTGCAATGAAGGAGAGAAGAGATGCACCGAAAACATTAGCTGTAATACCTGAATGGACTACTTTTACAATATTCACAACAGGAAGAAGATTTTTTACACCTTTCACGACCACTGTTACTGTACACTCTAAGGCTACTACTAGTACAACTATCAGTAACGATATCAGCACTGAAACAGTATCTATTTCCACTATGACAGCAACTAAATCTCGGGAACAATACTTTATAAGCGAAGAGTCTTCTGCAATGACGAACGGGGTTTTCATTATGGCAAGCGATGAAATGCAATCTAAAGAAGGTCAAAAGACACTGCACAATAGTATTAAAAGTCATAACAATATCCGATTTATAAAACCAACAGGTAGTTATATTTGTGCAACAAAAACGACAACAAAAAAACGTGATGAAATTAGCAACCTTAACAATAGCACAACCCAGACAAGTATTATTAGTAATACAAGCAACGGTGATGACGCAACAACAATTCCCAGTCTCAGTCAAATTACACATGATGTTGGTCAAAGAAATTTGATAGAGAAGCCAATGCAAAGGCTCACAAGACATCAGGATGATAAGGCAATAACAATTCCATTACAATCAATACCTTTGTATTCCATAACGATAGAACGGCAACAACAGCACCGGCAAAATACAGAAAATGGGAATAATAACAAAGATAATGATAGACAAGACGTAGCAACTTTAACAACAGCATCAGCATCAGCATCAGCACCATCATCAGCATCAACATCAGCATCAACATCAACATCAGCATCAACATCAGCATCAGCATCAAGAACAATAACAATAACAAAGGCTTCTAGAAGCACGCAAATAGAAAGGTATATAAAAATAATCTTAATCAAAGGGCATTTTTATGTTTACGCTTACAACAACAACGTTAATAAAAGCAGCGATAAAAATAATATGCTTGCTTTGTTAAGATTATCCTATTTTCGTAGGAAAGAAACTGCAATACAACCAGTGAATCAATTGAGGCGACCTATGATGGTAACGACGACGACAACAACATCGTCATTACTGCAACGTTATGCACGTCAGGCAGCAGATGCCGAACAGAATGATAAGTGTCGTATGTTCGTGGAAGGAGATCCTGCGAAAAATGAATTCTATAGCCCCGAATTCCCCAATAATTATACGAAAAACATTAACTGCACACGAGTGATTGTAGGTAAGTGAGAGACATTTTTTTTTTTTTTTTGGTTTTTGTCCTCTTTGTTTCCTATATAACTGAACTTATTTACGAAGCAATTCTATACACTGATAAATCAAAATCCATTTGTTCGCTATCAATGAAGGGTAACATAATATTCTTGTGTTATGTGAGGCGTCAACACACACACACACACACGTTTCTTTCAAGGGCTTACTTTGCAAGGCGTAGTTCGCCGCAAAAGTTTTCATTACTGCAGGTTATTAAAGCATAGTTGAAGAGCACAAGAGTACGTCTATGTGCAAATTAATGAGAAAATTGTGTGAAAATGTACAAAAGATTATAGGGCAATAAACTTGACAAAATCACTTTCAATGAGGAAGCATTACGGGAAACTTTATGCATCATTCTACCAGAATAAAATGCAAGAGAATTTAATACAATAAGTAAAGGTTTACAAGACCTTACCGTATGAACTCGTTTAAGCTTTAAAATATTCGCCATCAATTCAATGTAGTAACAAAGTTATCCTAGAATACTTGTATTCAAAAACATCAAAAAAAAACTTTTTTTTTTATAGAAATATTTTGTACGGGCCGTATTCGGAACAGCGTTTCGCCTATGTTACCAGTAGCATTGGTTTCATCTTCTCTATTGCATAAAAACCAGGATCGAAGAAGAATAAGTTTTACGATCAATTATGGTAAACTAATGAACTTAATACTTATTGCACTTCTAAGCAATTGCATAATAGTTTGCGACCAAAGAGCAATATTTGGATATTACTTTATTCGAATTTCTATTCTAGTCAACGTATGCTTGGCTCACTCATTCTCACTTTAATAAATTTAATAAATTTCATAAAAAAAAAAAATAATAATAATAATAAATAAATTCGTTCTGGGTAGCTCCACGAAAATTCAATTATACATGATAAGACATTATCTGTGAGTTGCTTCCAAACTTGTATGTATTAAAAAATAGTCTGTCACTAATTTGCTTATTCTCTTTCCTTTGCAATAAACTTTCTCACTCACTTTTTCGTTTTTGATGGTCCCACATGAAATCTTTTTGTTATGGCTTCTATTTCTTTTATTCCTTTCTTTTACCAATTCTTTGATTTGTGCTCACATTTCATTTCTGTTGTTGTCCGTATTATGACAGTTTAATTTATTTTTGAATTTTTAATCCAAATTTACAACATACTTTTAGGGAAACCTCTTTGTAAATATGCATTGCATTCATTCAGTTGAATTTGACAAAGTAAGCCAGAAGAAAAAGTTCTCTGGCACTGATACATTGATCGATCTGTTAGCGAACTGGTATAAGGGTAAATTGCCGCAACTAGTTTGTAGGGTGTATAAAGATCTCATACTTTATTCAATTAATTTGCACAAATTTCAAATTATATCTATTAAGTGTAAATTGATCGAAAAAATCATTGGGCATAGCTTTGTCGTGAATTGCTTTGCAATTGCCTTTCGTGCTGCTGTCCCTAGCATAGCCTCTGCTATCCATCTCGTTTTCCCATGAGTTTCATAGATCGCTAATTTCTCAAATCTAATAATAATTCTTTCTACTGCTTTTACATTTCTTCACACGAGCACATACATTATAGTAATGTTTAAGCAGTTTATTAAGTAAACATTTTTGAATGATGATAAAAAATGGCAACAGTGAAGCCATTCTCCTGAGGTATCTTTTAATTTAAAGAGAATTTGCGGCAAGGAGCAAAAATAGAATTGAAAAACCAATGTCGACCTGAAGCTTAAAATGCATTCATGTAATTTTTCTTTTTTTTTTAAGCAGTTTTCATGTTGGCAGAAATGATATTGCTATAAAGCAAAAGATGTTGGCTTGGAAATCGATTGAAATACATTGGCATAAATAACAAAACAAACGAGTACTAATTAACAAGAAATAAAAATACAGTATATAGAAACGTAACTAATCCATTTAAATGTGAATAAAGCATAAAAGAGCACACATACACGCAGCACGTAGCGCTTTAAGGCTTATAGCAAATAGTACCACTACACAAAAATACAATTATAGCCGTAACAGCATACAAAAAAGGAATCTGAAATGAATAAATAACAAAATGTAAAGCATAAACAATATATATATGCAAGTAACTTTGAAAAATAGAAGACAGACCAGGGCGTGTAACGTAAAGACTTGAAAATTCTGGAAAAGAAGTGCAAATTTTGTCGTAAACTTTGCAACGAGTTGGCCGATAGAAGTAGTTGAGTGAGTATTTAATGTTATATATTTTTTTTTTTTAATATAATCAAGTCTAATAAATTAGTTCGTTCATGTGCAATGAAAATGAACGCTTAACGTGTTAATTATAAAAGAAATTAATTGTGGGCCTTATATAACCTTAAATTCTCTGGCATGCTTTCATGTCTCCGTTACGTTTCATCATGACGCGCAAAATCGGGCTACCCTTATTTTGTCGCTCACAAATTAACCGCCACATGAATTATGCAACTAATTTTCATTTATTATATTTTTTATTATTATGTATAAATGTAGCTACATCGTTATTTTGCCTAAGTATGAAAACTTATAAACAAACACAATTATTCACACACTAATATATTATTCCAAGTTATAAAACGTATACATATTATATAAATATATATATATATATATATATACATTGTACATCGACCATAAGTGTGTATGAAATTCTATATACACATAAACATACACATGTTTAAACTATGTACTCAATCTGTTCATCATTTCCCCATCTTCACGGTTTAGATGAGGATCGTTACCATTTCTAATACAACGGTAGCCGTTTATGTCGGCCCTGGCGCGTCTAAACTAACTCGCACATTACAAGGTAGCCCACATAGATCCACATTAGATCTTTGATAACAATTCCCTGTTACATTACATATATTTAAGTCATAATGTCTTAGCGCTCTTCCCTCAGTTATTAGGTCTTAAACTATGATTAGCCGTAGGATTAAGCCTAAATATTTTTTGCCTTCACATCACATTGCCCAGATATTCCTTCGCTTGCGTGTCATTCGGTCCCTTTTGGATTGGAACATTGCGTCATTACCGGATACCTAACATTTTCGCTATTTCTCAGCACTTGTACTTTAGCAAGATATCACAATACCGTTTTTCGTTTCATTATATAGTCGACTATTGTCCTACCTTTCCGTTTATGCGCATAGATTCATGATTCATCAACTGTTACGATTTTATAAACGTCTTTTGAAGCATCACCATTGCATTTCTTAAGTACTTGTTCTCACCAACCACTACTTCTTGTATCTTTTTGGGAATTTGAGGAAACACATGTTGCACTAAATGGTCATGTAATATTATATGTGTGCCGATGAAAGTAGTGCCTAAAATTGCCTTAATCTCCCCGTATTGCACATATCACCCGTGCATCATCAATTTTGCTGGAACGTTAATGTTTCCTGGCTCAATATCGTCTTTCGCTAGCAAACAAATAGCGACGATGGCTGAACTTGTTACATCAGCATTTCGCAGTAAGAAGAGATGATACTTAATTGCTAAATGCGGAAGCAAGTTCATTGAGACACAATATTCAACACGAAAAACACTCAACATATTTAAAAAATTGCGATTTGTTGGCTGAACACAAAAAAAGCAAGAGGGACAGATGGATATATATCAACCGTTTCAATTGGGTTTGTTTTTATGGCAAAACATGTCGATTTCATTCAAATTTCATCAATATTTGACCAAAAATTGCCTCTTGTAGAAAACAAGACGGAGAAACGGATAGCATTTATGACATGAGGTGGTGCACACTTCGCTTAACATATTTATTCATGCAGCGAATTTGTAAATAACAAGCCATACTAAAGGAGGAGGGCCTTGAAAAAGTTGCCCGTTCTGAACCGAATTTTATCAAAATGTACCAATAATTGCGACCTGCAGATTGAACATAAAAACTAGGCGGACAGACGGACAGACAAACAAACCTAAAGGCTTGCCTCTCACTGAAATTTTTTAAGAGCCTTTCTTCTTCTTTTTTTTAGTATGGCCATTCGCCTAGGGGATGCTCTGTGCACGTGTAAAACAGTGATGAGAGTCAAAGAGAAGTTGGAAGTAGAGCTAAGCGGTCTAAGCCTAACGGGGGCTGTATGTCCGATTCGATAAATGGCATTAGCGTTTCGCGGCTGAACGCTCACTATAGCTAGTGTGGTTATCAAAGCATACTAAGATTAGAACCCACGAAACCCATTGCCGTTTCATATTTGCTTCTCTTATCTGTTTGGCTGTGCGGCAGTCCTATAATAAGTAAATAAATCAAAACGAAGGGTTTTTATTTTGCGGCATGTTACGCATACAAAAGCAAAGAACGCAAAGGTGATTGTGAAAGCAAAATATGAAAAACAAAAGTCAATTGCCGTTTATACGTTAAGGATGGGAAGGTACGAACAGGTACGCGATGGGGAATCGAATGAGATTTATTTAAAATGGAAATTGGATTTCATTTAATTCGCTTAAAGAAATATTCTCAGCTTGCATTCCATCAATGCGGTCCTTGTAAAAAAGTTACAATGTAATATATGAAAACACACTTGGCAGCTACGTTGCACATATAATATAATTCATTTTCTCTTCAGTTGCTGCTGTCAGTAAAGTTGTGAAAAAAAACAGCCTTCTATTGCATTTCAATCTCAGTGTGTATGTGCAATAAAACTCGAGTAAACCCGTTATGTTTACAAAAAAAGGCGCACCTTTACCCAAGTATGCAGAGATGGGAATACGAAATGCTATTGAAAATTTCATCAAAATGACTCTTTGAGATGCATGGAAAGTAAACAAATCATAAATCATTCATTTATTTCGGATGTGTGTTCGAAAGAAAATTCAACGTATTTATATAATTTATGATATTATGGCAACAAGGATACTCAAAGAAAAACTTATTATTAGATTTATTTATTTTATTTATTTATTTTTTTTTTCTTTCATTCATGCAATTGCTTCAGTTTACTCCTTCACTCCTTGTT